TAAGTTCTTGTCAATGCAGTTCTTCGTCTCATGTTCATTGACCCTGTAACACAATCACTTTTAAATTTCAGTTGGATAAAAATAGGTTTTTTGTTTAATGTAGTTTCTTTGGGTTTTTTATCTTCACATTTTGCACATTTTTCAATAAATTTCAATGCGAATCCTTTGTTCATTAAACACCTTTTGATATTCATTATTACCTCTTCTAGTGTATCGGCTGTATATATTCTTTCTGTTCTGTGTAATGGTGTTTTAACAAGTGTCTATGTAACTGAGTGACCAAAAACTATTGAAATCGAGACAAATCCCATTCCATGTATCTTCCTCAAAAAAAACTGAACGTTGAACCACGCCAACCTCCCTTCACTTTATTGCGATGTCGATAGAATGGAATTTATTCTCATTTTGACCTTCCATTATAAACTGGATATTTTTATGGGCTTCATTTTAGAGTTTCAGCAGATTTGTTGCATGTTGTTGATTATTACATACGATAATGGGGTAGTCAACAAACTTGGAATAATATACCATTTCTCCAAACGCTCTTTTGATCTTGGTTGTTCTGAGATTAACCATGAAACTATCTGCTAGGGTAGGATCTATTGGACTTCCTATTGCTACAACATCAGTTCATCGGTATATGACATTATTGAACTGCAAATGAAAATCTTTTGGACATATCGTTTACAGTCGTTTGAGTTCTGATGCTGGTAGAGAGAGGATATCAGAATGCTGGCAAATTCGTTTTATAAGTATGTCAATATCCGTAATAACTTTGATTTTAAAAAATATAATAGGTTGTAAGAACCTAACGAAATAAAATGTGTCCATATTATTCTGCTTCAATCTCGTTTTTTGTTCTCTTTAAGAGAATAAAGGGAACCATGTGTATAAAAAAATATATTCATGTATAAGTTCACCTGGTATTGTTTACTTGAATTTTCCTATTGATGTTTAGGACAGCAAATGATCAGTCTCTTATTGGCATATGTACATACTGTGAGTATCGCCTCGATGTTGCCTTAATTTACAAGCATTATAAACGAAGTTGGATAACGCTTTGCTGTCTGAATCGAACGATATTGCGTTCGAGTCTCAGAATGAACATCAACTTTAAAATGCAGGCACATCCAGCTGACAAGTTCCAAATAGAACGAAACGCGTATACTGGATTCCACCGCCAGCCACTAGCAATCTTTGCTGATATTCATATATATTTATTTTTCATTTATCATGATCCATATCAACAGTACTCTGAAATCGAAGACATTTTTCACGCTTCTGTTGACGACTAGTTTGTGTAGGAGATCTAGTCGTCAACAGAAGTGTGAAAGAGGTCTTCGATTTCATTTCAAAAGTGGGACATATAAATTGAAATGGGAAACGGATAATACGCTTAAATGTTGTAACAATCAAATTAAAAATTAAGTTAAATATTTTTTTCTATTTTCTTCTTTGATTGATCTGATCATCTTTTTTTCCCTAACTTTAAATATTCCTTCTATGTTTCTATGATTTGTTCTGAAGAATATTCTGTCAATGTTTTTTTAGAGAATACAATAGTAAGATTTAATTAGAACAGTATTTCACACTACATAGGGAAATGTTACAACTTAATACTTAAATATTTATTTGTGGATTGTTTTAGTCTGTCATTTTAATAAAAACAGAACTATTTACAGAACAATCAAATTCTATACCATATGAAGAGATAATCAATTGTTGACGATAGCAGAATTAATATAATTGTTTATATTGAAATGTATACTGTAAAAAAATATATACCGCCTGAATATATTTTTTTGACCGACACTTTTATCTATATTTCTTTATCCATTCACATATTCAACGGTTGAATAAGTAATTATTCAAATGGGATGAAATTTGTTTTATTATATAGTTAGAAATATGGATTAACATTGCTTACAATCATTATTATATAATTTGACTTATTAACCAAATCTAACAATTGGTCAGCATCAATTGCAGTAATAATGCTTCCAAGTTTTTCATTTGCTGTATATACACATTAGGTACATTAAATAAATAAAAAGACACTCTTATCGTCTTTGAATTCTACTTATTTGAGATCTTCATTAAGTTATGAATAAAATAATCAATATCATGTCTATTCACTAATGCTATCTGCATGATATCAACTGATATAACATCAAATTACTTAATTAAGTAACCTATGACAATGGTCAATCATTTGCTAGATTTTAGATGGCTAGAAGTAAGACGAAGCTATGAATACATGCTTTATTTCCTTCTACATACACCTTACTGTCTAGTGCCTTCTGATTAAATAGTTTTTTGATTGACATTTTACTCTGAGGAACGTATACTTCGCCAGTGATTATTACTTTTAAATCAGTAACAAATTAGAGTTAAAAATTAACATAAATGTTTGAATTTTGATCCCCAAGTCAGATGGAATATTCTATAATTCCTGAAATCCTTTATATTCTAGACAAATTAGATAAAAATACATTAGTTTCGGAGATTTTTGTTGAATGTAAACAAAAGCGAAGTCTTTTGTTTGTTTTCAGTCAGAAATACGTAATAAATATTTTCCATTATTTATAGATGAATGTCAAACCTGAAATATACATTCATAGTATGTATTTCTACAAGTACTTGGTACTATACTGGTTATTTAAATATTTTAGATGTGAATAAAATTCATGGAAATTATTGTGTATATTTTCGACACCAAATATTTCTAACAAATCACTTGCCAATTATTATAATTTGTCAATATTTATGATAGTGATTTTGCTTGTTTCGAAACTCAAAATGTACAAAACTGAGTTATTCTTCAGTTTAAGTTGTGTGGAAATTTTTGGGAATTAATCCAACTCCATAAATCATGCTGCCATTCAATATTATCAAAGTTGAATAATCGGTTTGAACAGCATTAACACATGGTTTGAAAACTATACATCACTAGTATATTTTTGAGTTCAAAAACATTTCAAATATTTGATATCTGTTTGTTTCAGAGTATTGTTTTTTCAAGGAATAGTTTCGTCATTATATTGGATATTCGACTGAAGATATAAAACAATATTTTTCACTGCAAAGCTTTTTAAAATATTTGAATGATAGATGGAGCTGATTAGACGTATTCATTCAGAGTTAGATTTGTTGATGAATGTATGCTATTAGTCGAGTTCGCCTTGATTATCAGACGGAATTATTTCTACATTTATGAGTTATGGGTATATTTCGCTTGGAGATTTCTAATAATACTTTCTATTTATCTTTTGTTTTCTCACTCATGTTGCTGGTTGGTCTGGAGCATACGAAGTGTGAAAACCAGTATCAGAATCGGATAACTGGTCAACACACCATTAAATCAGTTAACAAATATCTAACCCATCTTTCATTGTGATTTGATCATATGTGTTTTCCAATTATTACCTCTTATATATCATTCAGTAAATGTTAATTATTTTGGAAAATAAATTATAGAACAAAGAAAATTCCCGAGAATTAAAACGTGAATATAATTTGGTGCTATTTTTAGTTGCTACAAGCTTTCTTTTCGATTCGAATGGATTATTATATCATTTTGGATTAACAATCTGACTATTTGCGATTACGAATTCTGTGATTATTTCACTGACTGTTAACATAATTAGGCTTTTAATCGATTTTATTATAAACGGAGTAGATCAATTTCACCTTTAACCCTTGTTTCTTAAATACTTTTAAATAAATTGCTTTTTTTGATGACTACTTACACGAAGCCATGATCATAAATATTGCGTAACAACAGATTTCACACTGTAGTTAAGACCAGTTTCCTATACATTGTCAGCTATTATTGTTTGAATAATCAGAGAAAAAACATTTACTTAACTTTTGTAGTAGAATTACATGTTTTATCTATTCATTTTTCAAAATGTAGTTTTCACTAAATATACAATCTGAATAGGAATTATATCAGATAAGTTATGAAATAATCTATCAAAATCTAGATTTTCTAGATACATAAATGTGTTGAAACTGAGGTTTAAGGTTAATGATATTTATAGTCATTAAAAAGAATTAGAACAATAATCATGTCTACCATTTCTTTCTGGATAAACATTATTTAAATGGATTGTTATTCATAGCGCAGTTGGATAAACTTTGTCTGAATAAAGAATAGTCACACTGAAGTATCAGATTGTTAAATCTTGGTATGTTGGAATATTTTCAATCTAATTTTAATTACTGACTATTAAATGTTTCATATTTCTTTGTTATCAGTCAGTCAGTCAGTAACAACGTAGAACTTCGTACGTACGTACATCAGTTCGAGTTGCCTTACCACATTGGCACAGAGATGCAGTTGCCGATTCAAATCCCGTAGTGGTAGAGGTGGTAAGAGTATAAGCAGTAATCGGAAAGATTAGGGTTTGAAGATGTTATTTAAAGAGTAAATCCAGTGAAATAAATTTGAAAAGAGAAAAAGGGGACATGGCAAATTCAGAAAATTAGAATTTGGGAGAACACAAAGAGTGGATGCACCTGCGCCATTGCAAACGACTTTGAGCCATGTCATTCAGGGTCTCTAAACATCGGTTGCTATCATCTCGCGGTCCCCAACCAAGTAGTCTACACCTACCAACACGGCTCAGTTCACTTGTCAGTGACCTTTTTTAACACGTCAAAAATTTCTTTGTTATAGGTTCATCTTTGCAATAGACAGTGATGTTATTATGCAGACCACCATCACAATCTTAGATTTAAACGGTTTTGCTAAGAGAATAATACACTAGCAAAGTATTCACCTGAGCTACAAATCTTCTCTACCATCTGAAAACCATAATACTTCTGTATTACTGTTCAGTGAATGCATAAATCAGCAAAACTAACAAAAGTTCTCTTTTCCAACTATCTAATGACAATAAAATGTTTAAAAAAACATAATAATTTTAAAGTATAAAACACAAGCTTATTTCTTTAAAACAAATATGTTTGATTTATGGTAAATGTTAAAAACTTACCATTCATTCTTGGAGAGAAAGATAATGGTGAAACTCTAGATGGTAGATATTGATGATGTTTTACAATTGAAGATTTTCGAAATCCTTCAGAATAACGCCCTGGACTTGAACCTCCTGAACCAGTTAAATTAGAATCATTTGGTTGATCAAAACGTGGTACATCCAATGAAAAACTTTTGTAGATAATAATGGATCTGTTCGTGTATATATTTATATGAATAAAAGAGAATATAGACAATGTTTAATTGTATATATTTTGCTTTGAAATATTTCGTTTATAAAAACTATCAGGAAAGTTAACATCATTTTTTCTATACAACGGTTACATGTGAATAAAAAAAATCAATAATGAGGTACTCATTGATTTTCTTTCAAATGTTGCCATATTTGTTTAACTATATATATATATCAGTATATGAAGCAATAATCCGGAAAACACCTTAAGAATTTATTTAGTAGGTTTCGTAAAAGAAAAAAAAGATTCTGTTATGTCTCACCAGAAAAATTTGAGTTTTATTTCTGGTATGTAATGTGTTTAGATATGCTTCATCTTTCTGCACAAAATAATATCAAAGAATGAATGATCATCTTGTTAACCAAATATGAATAACCATAACAGTAATAAAAGCCAGTTGATAACGCTTAATATGTTGTTTTTTCCCACAATATGAATTTATTTTTCTGTCAGTGAATGAATGAACAATACTTCAATAAACTTATGTTCATATTATGTTATTTGGTTGATAAACATAGTCACTAAGAAATGTGATTTTATACAACCACTTCTTAAACGTTAAACCGAATGATTGTAAGGTGTAAGGTTAAGCTATTTGGACATCCAGTACTGAAGTGTCACTTAGAGACATATTTTAATTAGATTAGATAAATCTAACCTCTGAGAACATATCAATGAATTTCAGCTTAAAGATATTTATTAATTAAAAGTGTGAAAAACATGAAGCCTCGTGATTATTAAATTTAGTTCAGGAGAAATGTATATTACCACCGAACTGAAAGTATAGCACACCATCGATCGATTTAAAATATGCCTTTTTCATTCTAAAGTTATCTTTCAGACAATCAATAAAGAATCTGGATAAAACAAGTGTTTTGCATCAGAACTATTGAAATCTGCTAGCGTATAGTAGTTTTAGGCAGTATATTATTTTTCCAAGGTTAACTATTAATATTTTCATCTTAATATTCTGTAAATCATTGTCTAACCACATTGTTTTTGTTGCGAAAGCACAGCCTACATGTAGTTTTTCAGATTGTTATAGTTATAAATAAATGAATGGAAGAACCCACTGCTTACAAGGTCATATTTAAGTTGTCTAAAAAAATCAGAAGTCATAAATACACATTGTTATCTATTTTAACATGTTCACTTCACCAAATAGCTTATTATTATTATTCAGTGAACTATTAGTAAAAATAGTTATTTTTAAAGAGTTTACTATGACCAAAGTAAATTGGTAGAAAAATCTAATTGATTCATATATTAATTTCAATGTATAAGACCATGAGTCAGTTGAAGCTAGACCACCATGGAAGACCCAGAAGCACTGGACTGCTGTTTCGGTTTATTGTAGGACTCCTCAGCAGTGCGCATCCACGGCCTCGCCTCCTGAGAGATTCGAGCTCAGAACCTACTGGGTTTCACGCGCGAGCACTCAACCACTAGACCACTGAGCCGGCATCCAACGGTGTTAATGTCGAACTTCACGAAATTGAGCGACACATCCACAAAACCCATCTAAAATTAATCAACATATGCTCACCAGTGACTGGCTTCAAGAGGTATTTCCTGGAGTTCTAGTGAGAAGTAGTGACCAGTGGAGTTCAATCAGGTCTGTTGTGAGTTAGTAACTCCCTGAAGACAATGATAGATGTGTTGCTCAATTTTGTGGATTATATGAAGTTAGACATTAACACCGTTGCATGACTCATGATCCTAGCCATTGTAATTAATATCCACAAAACCCATGTGATATTGATTCATATATTACTGAAAGTCTACATAAAATTCATCATTTTATGCGTTTAACGTGATCGTTTTCAGTCTATGATTACAAAATGAAGTTTTCCTTGTCATTCTAAGCGTTCCTTACTCTGTACAAAGTAATCCTATTGTAATGTTCGTGTGATGTATGATACAAAGCATTTATTTATTTATTTTTTTGAATTCTATACATAATACTCGAAAGTAGCTTCGAAAGATTCTGATTGTTTCATCTTTTTATATTATGTTTAAACTGCTGATTTTATATTAACAACTTTAGTACATAGGTTCAGCTAAAAACTAACATAATCAAATTATTTATTGAAGACTTATGCCTTACAAAATCTCATATCTAAAGTCAGTATATTTCACAATCCCAGTCAACTGTATCTTTTTGTTCCTATTTACACATACTACTTCTTGAAATTAAAATATATCAGTAGCACAATATTTATTCTATGATTATTTGGAAAATAAACATCATAAATTCAAAATTCAAACTATATTGTTTTAAATGTATATTGCTTGTTAAATTCTTAAAACGGAAAAGAGATCAGATCAAAATGTTTATTCACAATAAATATTTGATCTTATCACGCTTTGATCAATATATATCAATGTTCTATTTTTTTTTTCAAAAAATGAAAACTTGGTTTTCTTAACTAGTCACATGATTTGATAAATTACCTTTAATACAATATAAACATTCTCATGTAATTCAGTTTTTATTTGTTCGTTATATTTTGTAGAAGAAAACGATATTTGTGAATGGTTAGAAAAGAATTTTCATGATAAATAACTGACCAACTGGAGAATAATTATGAACCATTAAGCCTGAAACGATTGGGATGAATTATATATCATAATGAAAATTACCTAAATGAATGAAAATGTTTCCATTCTATATTTTAACTATATAATGAATAATAAGCTTTGTGTATAAATGTTCTAAACATTTATGGTGATTATGAGAAGAGTATTGATATTTATGAAACCATATTCTAACGTTTTCATTGTCGATAAGACTATAATTTATGAACGATCTATAAGCGACGCTAAAGTGACTTCGAGAGTGTCTAGTAATAACTAGGACCGAATGAGGGTTATAAACCAGTGTAAGGAATTAGAATCATGATTTACAATGGATGGTTAAGGTTGGAAATTAGATTTAAGTTTTTCACCACGAACTGACATCAGCTATAATGCTAAAACGCTATTTAGCCAAATGGATGAGTGAATTTCGCACCAAAATCCAATACATGCTATCTTATACCTGATAGATTCGTCTATAAATTACAGTCTCGCTTCATTGTCTTCAGAAATGTTGAGTCTTTTCAAATTATAAAAGATAGTCATTCAGATCCAGTGGTATAGTGACTACATTTCCACTCACATGCTAGCCACTTCAGTTAATCAGTATTTTGCTGAAATTATGTGAGTCAAGTGATGTGTTATATATTTGTAATATCTCAACGAAATGGAATATCAGATTCTTGACGTTTCTTGCCACAATAACATTTCTACAGATAATAAAATAAATAACTAAACTAAATCAACACAAATTTAACTAGTAACATAAGATTATCCATCCCTTGTTTAATATTTAATAAGTGTGCAATTTCTAGCAGTTTTTGGCAATTTTTCCGTCCATTAAATAGGTTGTCACTGAGCATAAAGGTATAATTATTTTATTGAATATTTCATCTCAAGCATCTGAAATTACAGTGAACACTTCAGTGTAGCGCATTCTAACAAGCCGAATGACAAATACAAATGAAGTTAAAATGTAGGATCAAAATTGAATTCCTAGTTAAAATTAGTGATATTAAACAGTAAAACACCAGATGAACGAAAATACGCTTGAAAATGCTAGATTCTACACATCTATTGAGTACTGGAAACGAATATATAACCTCTGCCAAATAGTACAGAGGAAAAAACAAGTATTCATTTCAAAACAGAATAAATATGATCTTGTTGATAGTATATCCAGGTCCAAATGGAGGGAAGATATGGTTAAATTCATGTATTTATGATTTGGCTATAAAAATTAAAATATTTAATGTTTTTGATATTATTTTGAAGGTTGTTAAAAATAGCTATACTTTTAAATTTACTTAATGTTGTCTGCTTGTATCTCACCATGGTTATTTAGGACTGCGATTGATCAGTTTGTTATTGGCATGTGTCCATACTGTGCGTATGCCTCGATATTGCCTGAAGTCACAAGCTTTATAAAAAAAGATCGATAGTTGCTGGCAGTTGAATCCAGGACGTGCGTTTCGTCCTATTTGGGACTCGTTAGCTGGATGTACATGCATCTCAGAGTTCATGTTCATTCATGGACTCGAACTCAGTAACATTCACTTCAAACGCCATCACCTTATCTACTTCGCTATTGAGTCCTGATAGCCACTTAATTGTGCAATGGGGTGAAGTTTAGATTCACTTGTTATTGTTCGCTCGTATCTTTTCACTGGCCAAATGGATAACTCAATAGCGTTTGAAGCGAACGATACAGGGTTCGAGTCCCAGAGTGAACCTCAACTCATAGATGCAGGCACATCCAGTACGCGCGCCCTGGATTCCACTGCCATCCATTATACATCTTTGCTTATAAAGCTGTACTTTTTTCGAAATATAAAACAAATGAGGTACATGTACTATTTTATAATAAATATATTTTTAAATGTGACAAATTTAAACCAGTTTTGTAAATGATAGGTATATAACTTGGAAATAAATATTTAAATGAGGATATCCAATGACTGTACTCTTGAACGATATGTATTCCAAATGTTTTCATAAGCTATTTTTATATTCGCAGTAATCAACTGTTTTAACCAAATATTGAATACATGTAAAAATGTAATATTTTAAAGCAATTTGTTGCACAATCAATATTTAAAAAGTCAAGGAAACAACAAATTGTTTGAAAGGTTAATTTCGTCTAATAAATGTACTTTTCAGTCGACATTTTAGCTTCTTTCACTCTCAAAGTTTCTAGTGTTGTCAATTTCTATTTGTAAATGTTGAATCGCAGCTGAATTTATGTGAAGTCTTTTTATATCTTAAACTACGTATTGGTCTTGTAGAAATTATTTAGTTGAAAAGATATTTATACTCTTTGATATGGTGAGAAACGCTGATTTTTATACACTCTCTGTGTTGATAGAAAGAAGATCTTAACTG